GGTTTTCCATCAGACTTCAGAAAAATTCTACTTTTAATGTAACAAAAGAGTTCAACAGAGTTGCTCTACAAAAGTATAATTTTCAAGCATCCTGTGACAAACGAAGCCGTTCCATTTCATTCCACACAATTCTCTAGTCCCTGTGCAGATAATGCTGTTCGTCACACCCACGTGGCCAGCTTTCCATGTGACCACGACAAAGGCAGGAAAGGAAGGCTAGACTGGGAAAGCAACCTCAGCAGCAATAGGCTATCTCCGTGCTTCAGACGCAGATTTCAGTTCAAGAAATGGCAAGGAGCCAGGTGTAGCAGTGTGCACTCGGCAAGTCTGAATGGAAGGATTGCTTGAGTCCAGGAGTTCAAGACCAGCTTGGTCAATACAGCAAGATTCCCATTGGAAAGAAGGAAGGGAGGGAGGAAGGGAAGAAGGAAAAAGAAAGGAAGGGGAGGGAAGGGAAGGACTACAAAGAAAAGAAGAGAAAAAAGAACAAAACAAAGCAGTGTTCCAACTAATTTCAACTGAGACAAGACCCAGATGCTGAAGAGATGAATACAGATCAAGGAAAAATCTTCCCTATGAGAATGATTTGGAATTTGTTCAGAGAGATTGTTTTGCTCCAGTATAGTTTGAGTCTCTCAGCCTACCAGGTTAGAGTTCAGGGTCTCCATCTCTGCCTGTCCACGACAGCCTGTATAGCTGTCTGTTCCCTGCATGGTGGGTTTGGGCCAACACCAGCTATACATTGCACATTTCTGGCCTCACGAATTACAGCTGCTCATTAGTTTCATTTAAAAATACATCTATTTCCCGAAGACACCTGGGCACATCCACAGAGTGTGACTAATTGCCAGAACTGGATGAAATCAAGCCCCCAGGATCCTCAGAGACTGTTTTGTGTGCAGACAAAGCACAGCTGGTGTCTTCTCAAAAGGTGAATTGAGACTAATTGGATAATCCAGAAACCAATGAGACTGAAGTGGGCAAAAGGAGTCCTGTTTAGCTAAAAGAGATGTTCTCCTCAGCAGAGGAAGAAAAAGCTTTGTGGGAATAAGGTGAAGTGTAATGAGCTGGAATTACATTATATAAATTTAGAGATTTATTTTCCTTGCAATGGTAATAGATGCTAAAGTAAAGATACTGAACCCAGAATTAGATGGAGACCAGGCTTTCTAAGGAATGAGAGAGTCATGTGCATGGGTCAGGCTTCCCATAGTGAACGCAGCAGAATAATTTTTGTTATGTCAGGTGCAATTCAATATTCCATAGAAAGCCATGATTATCTACTGTTAAAGAGATCCACACAGGGGCAAATATCCCTTGCACATTTAGTGCATTGGGAAGCCAAAAGCTCTGGCTATGTCTTCTAAGGATGTCATTGTATTAACATGCAGCTGCTGCTAACTGCTTGACTGTATATGATGACTAATCAAATTAGGGACACCAGCTGGCACCAGTAGTAGATGAAATTAACAAGCCCTGGGGGTGGAAGGGGTAAATCGGCCTTTGGACTCATTTGCATAGTCCTCTAACCAAACAGGCCTCCACAGCTCTGGGCCAAAATGAGGTAATGTTTGATGCAATAAATTGCAAAGAGACTACTGGTCAACCCGGGGGTTATGGCATCAGTGTTGTATTTCCAAGGTGTGTCCCAGTGCCTGTATTGGTTGGTGCTCAGTACAAAAGTTATACATGACACCAATGGTGACATTAAAAAAAAAAGTGATGTCACACAGGATCTTGCCTTGGTTATTCTTGTTCTCTGGGGAAATGAGTGGGCATCTTGGCATGTTACCTCTTGGCAGGGAGCTGGTAGAACAGCAAGAGGAATGGGAGGAGCCCTGCCTTCAACCTCCCTGGGCCCTGACTAAGACCCAACTGCCCACTGCAGGAAGCTTGGGATCTGAGCTATCCTGACCCAGCACCTAGAGGAAAGAGCCTACTAGAGCTCCCCTCCAAGTTGAAGGGACCCATCGCCTCTTCTAGAGAAAACCAAGAGAGCTGAGCTCAAGAGCTGCCCTGGGGGGAGGGGGGCTCTTTACAGAACCACATCCACTGTCTTCTCCCTTCTGTGACTTCTTGGTTGCAACCACCATTTGCCTTCCCCTGCGCAACAGTCTCCTGGTGCTGTGGGAGACCAGCTGCTCCAAGGTGCTTATCACCCCCCCAGATAGCCCCCCCATCCTAAGGGATCACAGAGGAATCTCCCAAGAGGCTCCAAATGAGGACCCCAGCTTCTGGCACCAGAGGATAATTCGAGGTCAACCATCTCCTAATAGATGGTTTTTCAAAGCAGCAGAAACTTGGGCTGAGATAAATAGGCAGCAGTAACCTAATTGCTGGGTGGTAGTGACTTCTTCCTACTACTCTGACCCTGAAAATTCCCCAGGCGCCAGGACCAGGGCATACATTTCCCAAGGGACAGCCAGAGGCCGCTCTGGGTCAGCTCCAGGGACCTGGTCAAATTCAAGGCTCAGGGTCCTCCCCAAGTGTCCTCTACCAGCTTCACTGAAACTGTCCTCAGAGCCTTACCCTTGGTGACTGTGTCCTCTCTGAAGGGAGGGTGCTGGCCCTAGATATGTCAGGTCTCCCAACAAGCATCCAGTGCTGCCACTTTTGTCATTTGTTGGATGAATCTCTGCTCTACTTCCAGAAGTGGTTCCCAAATATGTGTATGTTGGTGGGGGGGCTTTTTTAAAAGGGTAAAATATACAAGACAAAAAAATCATTTCAACCTTTTTAAGTGTAATTCAGTGACATTAAGTACATTCACATTAGTGTGTGACCGTCACTACTACCATCTCTACAAATTTTCATTATCCTGTAAATTAAGGAACTAGTTTTGCACCTTGGTGAGTGCAAAGGCAAAGGGCACAACCAGGAGATAAAAGAGTGGAGAAAGATTTGTTCCCTGCAGCAGGGAAGGAGCACACTGGGGTTATTTGTAAGCAGTGCTTCTCCTTAAAAAGCATAGGGATTTTATTGTGGGAATTATTACATATTCATATAGGAACTCATATGTAAGGGTATGGGCACTTTTGAGCATGCTCCATTTAAGATGTACACTTCTGAGCATGCTCCGTTTAAGATGTACACTTCTGAGCATCCTCAGGTCAAGGTCATAGAACCCAGGGAAACAAGGAAAGACGGCTGACATGAACACATCAGGACATGCTCAGTTCACTATTAAATTGGGCAAAGTTTACTTTGCATCACCTAAAAGAAAAGACTCACAGTGGCTCAGTTGACCTCGGCTGATGACTCCAAAGTTTCTGGAAAAAGTTTTAGCCAAAATAAAAAGAAAGAACAATTCTGAAGGAGTGTTAACAGTCTTTTAAAAGGTCAACTGCTTTCTCACCTGTAAGTATAGAAATCTGCCCGTGATGGCACCTGCCTTGCTTAGCAGCTACCTGTCCCAATCTGAAACTCTGTACTTATGAGCATGAGTGCCCCATCTCCCCTCCCACCAGATCCTGGTAACCACCATCTAGTTTCAGTCCCTATGGGTTTAAACTATCCTAAGTTTCAGATAAGCAGGATTGCACTTTGGGTCTCACCTGTTTCAGTTTGCAGTATTTCCAAAATTCACTCATGTGTTGATGTGTCACAATTTCATTTTCTTTAAGGCTGAATACTAAGCCGTGGTGTGTATGTATCACGGTCAGTTGATGGAGTCATCTGTCCTTGGACGTGGTCATCAAGTTGCTTCTGTCAGCTGTGGGGGAAAATGCTGAATAATAAAGCTGTGAACATTTAGACATATTTGTTTCAGTCCTTGAGCTACATTCTTTTGTGTATCCACCCAGGAGCAGAATTCGCTGGATCATTCATTCATTAATTCCATGTTTAATTTCTGAGGAATGGCTAAGTTGTTTCCTGTAGCAGCTGCCCCGTTTTGTACTCCCACCAGCACTGAACAAGGGTTCCAGTTTCTCCATATCCTCACCAACACGTGTTAGCCTCCCCCCGCTTTTTTAATAATAGCCATTCCAGTGGGTATGGTTTTGATGTGCATTTCCCTAGCATCTAATGACACTGAGAATTTTTTCCATGCTTTGGAGTCATTTGTATATCTCCTTTGGAGAAGGGCCCCTGCATGTCCTTTGTCCATTTTTTACACTGGGCTGTTTCTCCGGGCTGAGTTGTGAACTGTGTTTTCAGTCTAGATTGAGACATCCTGTCACAGTTGCTGACTGAGCTTTCAACAATGCCACATGCCACAGGAACGAGTGTCACTTAATGCCACAAGCACACAGTTCCCCAGGAAGTCCCTGCGGGTCTGAGAGAGTACCCAGCTCAGTGTAGCACAGTAGCAGCACTGACAGAAATGGCCGGGAGGCCAAGAACAGCCAGGGCCTGGTCGTGGATTTGGGCCCCACTCTGGAGCATGCAGCTGTCTCAGGGCAGCCACACGCTGGGCTCCTGGGTGCCCCTCCCCCAAGTCAGCGTTGGCCCTGGGATTGGGGGTCCACAGCAGCAGCAGGGCTCACTCTGCCCTCACTTGGCAGGGCTGGGTCCAAGCCCTCCACTCCTCATCCTGCCACCCTGTATCAACAATGTGGACCGAGAAAGGAGTGGTGCTAGGCATCAGTATTTTTTAAGTGTCCAAAATCATCGATTTTCGGCCTTTTGGCTAAGATCAGGTATAAAAGTGTCCAAAGCCAGACAATGTGATCCGATTTTTTGTTTTTTGTTATCTCAATACAGGATCTCCTATGTAGTTCAGATTAGCCTCAAACTCACTATGTAGCCCAGGCAAGCCTTCAGCTCTAAGGGATCCTCCTGCCTCAGCCTCCAGAGTGTGTGCATCACCACAAAGGACCAAACACGCCTGGCCTGACCCAATTTATTTTGTCGCTGAAAGCTGTTTGGTGCAAAGGTGGGCGTGGCGCAACCCTGGCCCCCAGCAAGGAGCGCGGGGCGGAGCGCGGGGCGGAGCGCGGGGCAAGCTTCCTCGGGTCCTGCTCCCCGCGCCCTGCTTCGAGCCCAGCTCTAAAGTAAACACTGCGGGTGGCTGGACCGGTGCAGCCCTAACCCGACGGTTCGCCTTGCGCTGAGCCATGGCGGAGAGGCCAGCGGACCCCCGGGGCCTACATGGCCGCATCCTGGGGTGGTGAGCAGGGCACTGGGACAGGGGCGGGCTGGGGGACCAGGAGCGTCACCCTTAGCTGCTGCTCAGAACCTGGGACCAAAGCCTAGGGCAGGGGCAGCAGGACCCAGGTGAGGTCCCTAAGGGTCTTGGTACTGAGCTAAATACTAGCCCATTCATGTTATTTTGTGATATGCTCCTGCCTCAGCCTCCCAACGCATATTTAAAACTGGTCCACCAGAGCACAGAGGGAGCTGGTGTAGACCTCTCGCTCTCCCCCCCTCCCTTTCTCTCTCCCTCCCTCCCTTCATCTCTCTCTTCCTCCCCCCTTTGTGTATCTCCTTTGGAGAAGGGCCCCTTCATGTCCTTTGTTCATTTTTTACACTGAGCTGTTTCTCTGGGCTGAGTTGTGAACTGTGTTTTCAGTCTAGATTGAGACATCCTGTCAAATCTCTCTCCCTCCCTTCCTCTCCCTCTCCCTCTC